TTTACCTTCTGGTTTCACATTTAGGGTTTAGGGTTTTAGGGTTTAGGGTTTAGAGTTTTAGGTTTAGGGTTTAGGGTTTAGAGTTTTCCTGTTAAGACCCTAAACCCGGCCCTTCACCTCGAAGACGGCGACATCTCCATCCGCCGGGTAGTAGGCGATCACCAAGCGTCGGAGCTCGTCCTCCGGCTCGCCGTTGATCATCTTGCACTCGAAGCCTGGGGAAGTGATTCTGCTTAGGGCTCAGGGCTGGGGGTTTAGGGTTTAGGGTTCAGGGTGGGGGTTTAAGGTTCAGGGTTCAGGCTTTAGGATTTGGGATTTAGCGTGAAACCTGAGAAAGCGTTTCTGCTTAGGGCGAGCAGGGCTTCGCGCAGTAAAGCTGAGAAGCAAAGATGAAAAGCAAGAGTAGCACTTAGCACTGCAAAACTGGAAAGAAGTACAGTAGTGGGAGTTAACCGTATTCATACTGAAGATCAAAGGTAACACCCACAAGGCTGACAGTACTGCTACTGTAGCATTCGTCAAGACTGCATGGCACTACGGATGCCCAAATAGTCAGTACTGAACACAACAGCAGAAGAAGATGTTTCAGGGCTGCAGGTGTTTACGGGTCAAACACCGGGCGAAAACTGACCATTCCAAAAAAAAGCGAAGCCGTAAGTCTGAAGCCCGAAACGGAAGCCGTCGCTTAAGGTTCGAGGTTTGTGAAATCCCGGCACCGCATATTCCCAGGCCCCAGTCTGAAAGCTTGGACAGCAGTAACAGCGGAAAACACATGCGTAGTTCTCTAAATTAGGGTCCCTTTTTAGGATCCTTTTTATAAGGGTGCCGTACTATATTGCGGACCTAAGAAGGGACCCTAATTTAGAGAACTACCCACATTGCTTCACTGTCTGGATTTGTCTTACTTAGCTATCGGCTTGCTCGATTACAGCATCCGTCTCTCAGTCCCACCAAGAACTTGCACATTCGGGGTGTCGTCTTGTTGCGTGGTCGGCTCTGCTTGCGCCCAAGCTGCGCAGCACTTCGCCCGTGAGTTTCATCATACGCTCCAGGTCAACCTGAAAGGGAAGTGCGGATCTCATGTAGGGGATTTAGGGTTTGGGGGCCTGTCATACTGCAACTACTTTCGGAATCCTATGGAAGAGTGTTGAAACTATATAGGCGTTTATACATTATAATTATGGTATGGCATACCCCCAAACCCTATTCTAATTATTAAGGCCCCCATATTACTTGTGCATTTTTCGGGTGCACGGTTTCGGGGTGGGGGGCTCTTGGTGCCAGAGCTTCGGGCTCGGGGTGCAACTCTACGGAAGTCATGCGCAAGTGTTCGGGTAGAAAAAGGCTGGGTTCGAGAATTTCAGAAATTCGGACTCCAAGTTTGTATAGATTTAGGGTCAAGGTGAACGCTGAGGACGTAATGATGCCAGCCGAGGGCAACCAAGACGATGACGGGACGATTGGGCGAGCTGGCCCCCCGCGGTGCTGGCAGAGGGCAGACCAGATATGACGACGGTTTAGGGTTTAGGGTTTAGGGTTTAGGGTTTAGGGTTTAAGGTTTAGGGTTTAGGGTTTAGGGTTTAGGGTTTAGGGTTTAGGGTCACATGCACCTTGGGCGGCGTCGGCTGGATCATGCTACAGTTCAAGAGGGAGTCTTCTTCCTGCAGAATCAGAGGAAACTACAGGTGGGGGGTTACAGTAAGGGTTTGTAGGGCTTCTATAATAAGGCTTCTATACGGTATATAGACCTTCTATACAGCTCCTATAACGGTAACTACCCACCTGCAAATGTCCTGGACAGAAGTGATGAAAACTTGAGTTTTCAGGCGCACCTAGAGGCTTGTGGCCACCCAGGAAGAGGCTGAAGATAAGGTAGCTATACTTGCAACTACAGTTTTAAGTGCAATTGTGGTGACAAGGACGCTTTGTTGGGGAGGGGTGATTTGAAGGCGCTTGGGGCTAAAGCACCGGGCCGGAAAACCCGAAACCCGAATTCCAGTTCGAAACCCTGACCCGCGCTGCGGTTTAGGGTATAGGGTTTACGGTTTAGTCTTTAGGGTTCCCTTTGCAGTTGCCCTTCCGGCTCTCTGCTACAATGGCCGAATGCATGCATCTCTGATGAGGGCAGGTGGCCTCACAAGTACGAGTGCTTGGGACCCGCACTCTAGAACCCGAACCCGAAACCGTCTGGGTCCTAAGCGCCAGCAATCGATGCTGCGGGCATCCAACCACTCAAACCGCGAATGCAAGGACAGGTGAACGGTTGAAGGTTTAAGATTCAATTTAGGCCGCGATACCTTCCAGTCGAACTCGCCCGCCCGGTCCCCGAAGCTCCGAGCCCTTACTGCCTAAGTCTTTCCACCCTTTAGTGCTTCCCGTTGCCTTATCGGACACCCTTAACCCTAAAACCCTAAACCCTAAACTTAGCCCTAAACCCTAGATCCTAAAACCCTAAACCCTAAACTTAGCCCTAAACCCTAGATCCTAGAACCCTAAACCCGAGACCCTAACGACCGCACTACCACACAGCCTAAGCCAAGACTCAGACGGACCATCAGGCACAAAGGCCCCAGTCCCAAACCCAAAACCACAGACCCATAGGGTCTACGGGTTTAGGGGTTTAGGGTCTAGGATTTAGGGTTTTAGGGTTTAGGGTTTAAGGGTTTTGGGTTCAGGATTTAGGGCTTTAGGGTTTAGGGTTTTAGAGTTCAGTGATAAGGACTTGGGGCTTAGAGTGCATGGTAACATACACCCTTCCATGGTCCTTGCCCACTCCGGTGTGCGGCGGTGGCATAAGCTTCGCGTGCGTCACCGGCTTCTCCGCTACATCGATCCGTCCCTGAGCTTGGTCGATACCTGGGACGGCAAGCAAACAGGGATGACCCAGAGACTTAATATAGATCCATACATACTCGTATGTGTATGCATGTACGTACATACGTATGTATGCATGTAAATGCACATGATCGTGCATGTATGTACTTATGTACAAATATCTGTACATATACATGTGTTCATGTATGCATACATGTATGTGGAGGAATGTATGCATGTAGGTGTGCATGCATGTATGCGGCGTAGGTATATATGTATGCCTGCATATGCGTATGTATACAGTCATACATACATATGTACGCATGTCTGAATGTATACATGAATCTGTGTATGTGCGTATATGCATATACATATACATGGATGCGTGGGCGAGTATGCATACATGCATTTTTAGCACTCGCGCTCGAGAAATCAGGCGAGGCTTATGAGACAACTCAGCTAGCCCAGCTGCTCATCTCGAACAGGGTTTAGGTTTAGGGTTTAGGGGTTTAGGGGTTTAGGGGTTTAGGGGTTTAGGGTTTAGGGGTTTGTGGGTTTAGGGGTTAGCTCGACAGCAGAGCACATGTAATTCTGTCAGCACAGTCTGCGATGCCTAAGGCATCAAGGAAGATGCTCCAATTATCATGCTTCTTAGCTCATGCATACATGTCGGTAGGTACTTGAGTATTCGTGGATGCCAGTGCAATATATGGAATGAACGCACAGATGTATATGTACATGTATGCATGCATGCGCGAGTGCATGGCTCGTGGAGTCTGATGGCATAGACAGCCGACCATGAGTGCACTGGCATGTGTGTTTTCTTCATGTTTCCTGCTTCTGCCGTCACGTTTTTCTACGATCGTTCTGGTACATCGTTCGCACACTTCCGCAATAAGTTGCTGCAAACTGCCTTGTTGAACATGTCGGTACTGATGCATTGCCAGCAGTAACCGCGGTGCAATGCTGGGCGAACTATGGCCATCCTCCGGTGCCTGGTTCTGCCTGCGACGTGGCCTACGACTTGGCCGCCAGGGCTCACTTTGGACATTCAAACTTAAGGCCCTAAACCCTAAACCGTAAAGTTCAAGGCATGGTGGCCTTGAGGGCTAAGCTTAGATCCTACATCGTGGACGCTCTAAAAGCTTTTCTACACCTGAGCTATGCATATGCTCTAAGCCTTAAACCCATAAACCCTAGGCGGCCCTGACTGTGTCTTCATCAAGCAACAGGTTGTCTTCTAGAACCCTAAACCCTATATCCTGAGCCTACACCCTAAGGAAAGCCTGTGCCTCAACGCCTGCACCCACGAGCTGTGCACAGCTTAGCAGGTCAGGTTTCTGGGTCTAGAGTAGCATCTTCATGCCCTTATGCCCGTATGACCCCGGCATAGCTAGAACATGTCTGCATATGGGAGTTTCCGAAAATTAGGGTACCTTATTTTGGGGTCCTTATAATAAGGATCCTATTATTTAGGGTACTATATTAGGGTCCCCTATTTTCGGAAACCCCCATGTAGCCCAAGAGGTGTCGCTTGCGATGTAGACTTCGGCCGAGAATCCAACAGAGGAGCTCCACAGTTCTGCGAAGACTCACTCGACTCCGAAATCCCCGCAGTTCCCTTTCAGAAGCTCTTGCAGGCTTTTGGGGTTTAGGGTTTAGGGTTTAGGCTTAGGGTTTAGGGTTTAGGGTTTAGGGTTTAGGGTTTAGGGTTTAGGGGGTTTGCAACTCAAAAAATGTGAAGCAGCATCTATGTCGCAGAATTCGGGCAAGGGCACCCAGGTACTCTTTGTAGAAGCTCCTTGTGAAGTCATCGCAGTCCCAGAGGACCACCTGAGGGGTGAGGGTTTAGGATTTAGGGCTCAGGGTTTAGGAGGGTGTTGATCAGGGATTCTCTCAAATGACCCGAATTCTGGTTACACCTCTTACTTAAAGCACCGGCTCCCTTTTTGGCCTGCTATGGTTTACTTTATTCCAGGTTTCTTCAAAAAATTTACGCAACTTCGCAAGGTTTCATAAGACCCCTGAGGTTTGCACTACCCCAAATGGTGGTTTGCCGCAAGATGCAGACGTCGAGAAAAACAACAGCCCACTATGACACGAATCTTTTTTTGAACCCAGGCTCTGATCATCAGCTGGGAAGTCGGCCACAGACGCGCTCCGCACAACGTGCAGCAACTGAACTCTATGACACGAAGCCTTAAACTTCAAACGGTACCCACATACAGAACAACCTTTACCTGGAAATTCGGATTTGGGGCGTGCCGCTCAGGGCGCGTGCCTTTGTAGGCGGCTTAGGCTTTAGGGTCGAGGGGTTTACGGTTTAGGCCTTGGGGAAACAGTTTCAAGGCGATGAGTCTGGGAGTTGATATGGAGGTTTCCGAAAATAGGGGACCCTAATATAGTGCCCTAAATAGTAGGATCCTTATTATAAGGACCCCAAAATAAGGTACCCTAATTTTCGGAAAGCCCCATATGTCTTGGGCTTCGGTCGGCTGACAGGATCTGAACAATGCGGCAACAACGCCACGTACAGCGGCGGCCTGAATAGTTGCACTAGGCCTTGACCGGGGCGAAAACAGCATGGACTTGCATTTCATACTTGTCTCCTTTAAGGAACCGGTCCAAAAAAACCGTATGAAAGCATGGTACTCCAAACCCAGTTGGATATATGTTGGGGCTTCCCTAAATAAGGAACCCAGGGGACTCCATTCAGGCCCCGATTCTAGGCTAAGCTTTCGAGGGTGGCTCGTACGATAAAGCTAGTCAGGCCCGGATAGTTGGCTTAGCTATGGGGATAGGGCTTATGGTCGAGGGTTAAGGGTTTAGGGCTTAGGGTTGCGTACGAAGAATGAACAAAATATTGAGGCACGGGACCGTCATACATTGAAGTAAAGATTGCTCGACAGCAGAGTGGAAGGTCCCTGCCAATGCCCTGCATGCACAACAGAAACACTCAACTTTACTGCCTAGACCCTCAACCCTGAACCCTAGACTCTCCTGTTTTTGCTGAGGGCCCCTGCCTTGCGGCCCCAGGCGTGAATCGACTCGCCCACCTGTGAGATGCTAGCATCTAGCTTCCCGGCACTTGCAGGAGTGAGGACCTTGGTAGTTTCAAAGTACAACCCGAGTAGCAGTAGCAGCAGCAGCAGCAGTAGTAGTAGTCGTCGTCGTAGTAATAGTAATAGTAGGCGTGGTACTGGTAGTAGGGGTAGTAGTAGTTGCTCGTGTTGTCGGAGCAGGAGGAGTGGGAGTAGGAGTAGGGGTCGGGAGTGTAGGCTAGTGGGAGAGTCGGAGACTAGTTGGATAGTTGAGTAGGTGAGTAGCAGTAGGGGCCAGGGCCGCCGCGGGAGAACAAACAGTCCTCCTCACCATCGTAAACAGTGCACGACGGTATCTCATGGAACCACGAAAAGACGACCCTAAACCCTTAAACTCGAAAACCCTAAAACCCTAAAACTTTAAATTTTAAATTTCAAAACCCTAAAACATTGGCACTCTGTGCCTTCAGATCCTCGGGGAGGTAACGCGGTGCCTTGCAAGTCAAGAGCAGCGATGCCGGGACAGAAACCATACAATAGGAGCAATCATGATATCAGTCACATTAGTGACAATCCTTATAGTCGTAATAAATGCAATAACAAGGATAATACAATAATAATAATCGTGATAATAATGATAATAATAATAATAATAACAACAACAACAATGATACTTGATCATGTAATCATACTCATGAACCCCGGGATCCGTACACCGCTCTTGGCTCTCACGAGCGCCGAATCTCTCAGGTGCCAACTCTCCGTGCCCCACACATAAGGGACTTTCCGAAAATTTGAGTACCTTATTTTGGGGCCCTTATAATAAGGATCCTATTATTTAGGGTACTATATTAGGGCCCCTTATTTTCGGAAACCCCCAATACAATCTCGAACCCTGAGCTCCTGGCACACCCGATGCTCCTCCTAACCCGAACCCGAATGAGAAACGACCTCTCGAAACCCCAATATAGGAACCTGATTAAGAAGCCCTGGGTTCTTCATATGAATCCTGATATATTTGGGCTATAGGGCCAGGGTTTCTGAATCAGATCCCTACGTCCTACATGATGCCGCGGTTTCTCTGGTTTTGATTGATAGCTGGGTCCTCACAGAATCCGGCGGGTCTCAGGGCATGTGGTACTTTTTTGCGGCATAGTGAAAGCCAGAAAGGTAAAACAGGGATTTAGGATGATTAGTCCTAGGATTCCCTTCTGCTTTACCTTTAACGGCATCCGGGTAATAATGTTCAAACCTTCTGGCTTCTACTGTCGTTTAGGATGAGCTAGGAAAACTCCTGCGTCCCCGTAAAAGCTCAATGCCAGTACCCCTTCCACGAAGTCACCTAGCCTAATTTTAAATCGCATTAGGAAACCCTCGAGGAGCTAAGGAGCATTCCATCTTTGAGGGGACTGGGACTCCTGCGTCCCCGTAAAAGCTCAATGCCAGCACCCCTTCCACGAAGTCACCTAGCCTAATTTTATATCGCATTAGGAAACCCTCGAGAAATTGAGGAGCTAAGGAGCATTCCATCTTTGAGGCGACTGGGTTTGGCTCAGGTAGTATATAGAGGGTGCAGGCAAATGGGCTGAAGTTTCAGCGTTGGGGGGAGTTCTCAAGCACAGCTCCACATCGAAGCCTTCGAACATGCCCTGCACCCTATATCACCCTTACAACACGGCACGAAGGCCTGTAAACCCGCTTGGTTGCAGAACCCGAACCCCTTATAAGTTCACAACCCTGAACCCCCAAGCCCCTCCAAGGCCAAAAGCCTCACAGGAGAGCATCCCTGGTGCAGCATTGACGAAGTTGCCTTTGTCTACGACCAGTGAGCTGAAAATCCGTCAGCCATGGTATTTTGAGGGTGTGGTTGGGTGTTGATAACTCTTCTTGTAGCGGGTCCAGTTTCAATACGCCCTGCATCCTACGTATTGTGAAGCCCTGTAGAACTTAAGGCACAGTCCTTGTCACCTTTTTTTTTAACCCGGGGCTCAATCCAATCAGTGAGCCGCAGGCAACGCCCAGGGGACCAAAACTAACCCTAAACCCTCAACCGTATCGGTCTCTCTGGGTACGACCAGTCGAGTGAATACACTGAATTAGGCCTTTCGCTCGACACCACGGTTATAGGGCTTAGGGTTTGGGGTTTGGAGTTTATTCCGAAACCTCGTCCCCTTTGAGTGCGCTTGTTGTAGAGATCCCAATACTAGAAGCCTCGAAAGAAAGGGCTTGTTAATCAGGGGTCTACATTATGAGTCTACATTCATTACGGTCTAGGGCTTAGGGTCCTGGATAGCCTAAACCCTAAACCCTAAACCCTGCAGACCCCTTATCTTCTTTTGGTGTGGACTTCATGTTGGGATCCCTCTCAATAACCCTTATAAAGGCAAGGGGGCTTCTTAACCCAATGTGTACAATATCGCTTAGGGCGCAGAGACCTGAGTTGAAATACAAGTCTATAAGGGGATCCCAGTGTTATGTATTTGACAGCATAGAGTGCGGAGCAGTCTTCGGCTTGCGTGCGATCCACCTTTTAGGTGTTAGGGTTTAGGGTTTAGGGTTTAGGGTTTAGGGTTTAGGGTTTAGGGTTTCGGGGTTTGGGGTTGAACGGTTAGGAGTTCGCAGCTTTCAGGGAGCACGAAACCTCCTGAAAGCTCGAGCCTTAAGCCCCAAACCCGAAACCGGTTCAGGGTAACTTGAAAGCCCGAACTTCATCCTGGAGAGTTGACGGTTCGGAGTTGAGGAAACTGAGTTAGGGCCCCAAGAAACCGCACGCAAGCAATGAATAGGATAGGGATATCCCATATAAACCCCCCCTTATAGTGAAGCCCAATAAGGTAGAGATATCCCTGCAAAATGCCTATGCTTATGTGCTTTTTGGGTCGGTAATGAATTGTGTGAGGCGTATGAGACTAAGGACCAAGGTCTTCACGGGTAGGGTTGAGGGTTTAGGGTTTAGGGGGGTGGAATTTGGGCTACAGGCATCAGGTGTCTGGGTTCGTGGTCTGGAGCGCAAGTCAATTTCTCAAAGTTTGATACAGAGATCCAATACCCCATTCAACAAGGACATACAGAACATCCTAATACTCAGCCCGACATGAATTCAAGCAGATTCCTCGACTCAGGGGTATTGGGCTTTCTGGGTACCTAGGGTTTGGGGTTTAGGGTCACGGAAGTAGGAGTGAGCCTCTTGTGCTTCGAAGGCACTTTTGCGAAGAGGCCCGCGTTTCATGAAGACCTGACGGAGTAGTCCGTGCCCTTGTTCCGACGGACTCCAAGATTTCCACAATAAGATAATGTCCACAATCAGGAGCCGTCCCTCCATCCGTGCGAGTGTTTGTACTGGAGTAGTTATTCAATTAGAGTGATCAGTTGGATAATCCCCTTAGGGGGAGTCATATTTCTGCGTATGATATCTTTTTTTGAAGCAGGTCTCTACAGCTCTGCCTGCCCCTGCACCTGAGCTCATGTCAGGACGAACGTATTGTCTACATACTGAAATACCCGACCTTCCGGGTACGCTACATACCCCCTACGAGCCTCTTCGCCTGCCCCCCCGCTTGAGAATCTTCGGGTCTTACTTTAGTGTTGTTCGCCTCCTTCGCTGAAGGCATTTGGAATTTCGGGTTTAGGGTTTAGGGTTACAGTTTATGGCAAGGTGGCTTGCCATTGCCCAGCTACCACACTTGGCCTAGCTAATCTGCAGGAAATGCCTTCTCGATCTCTCTCTGCCTCTCTCGCTCGCTCTCGGGCGGTGCACCGTGCACGCAAGTTAGGCGCAAAGCAACCAAGCCAACATGCCCCTCTACTCACTCTACTCTCGAAGGCGCCAAAACTCGCTCACTCAGCTCGCCGCTGGCCACTTGGCTCGGCCGGAGTTGCGGCAATGAGCCTTGCAGGTGAGCGTTGCTAGGATAACGTCCTTTTTCGAGGTCCTGACTGCATCAAGACTCCCCCTAAGCCCTGCACCCGACATCGCGCGTTGACACAACTCTGACTCCAATCTGTCTGGTTTTGACATGCCTGCAGTTTCCGTGGCTTCGGGGCTTGCATGAAGGCTCCCGCATCGATGTCTGTACTTTTGCAGGGGAAAGGGAAGGAGATATTGACGACAAGCAACATCCGATTGCGCTGCTCCACATCATCGTACCATCACAGTCATAATCATCACCACCACCACCATCATCATCATCATAATCATCGTAATGGCGATGATGGTAGTGGCGGAGATGGGGGCTGTATGCTGTGGGGCTGGTGTTGATGGCTACCGTGGCCTCGCTGGTGATTGTGGAGCTGGTGATGGTAAGGATGAGGGTGGCGACGATGAGATGATTACACCGATTCGTAGGAATGATATGATTCAGACGGTTATTATTATCACTATCAGTCTTATCATTATTACTACTACTGCTCTTCGTGTTGTTATTGCTGCTGTGACTATCGTTGTTAAGATTTTGCACTTGGTATGAGTTAACCCTAAGCCCTAAACCCTAAACCCCAAACCCTAAACCCACGAGGTTTCGGCGGGCAGCCTCATTGATTTCGACGGTGTTGTCAGCCAGGTAGTAGTGGATGATGAAGTAGACTCCTTGTTTAGGGTTTAGGGTTTAGGGTTTAGGGTTTAGGGTTTAGGGTTTAGGGTTTAGGTTGGACTTCTTTCGGGTTTGGGGTGCGGGTTTAGGATTTTTGGGATAGGGTTTCGTGCTTGGGGTTTAGAGTTTGGAGTGTCGAGTTTAGCGTTTAGGGTCGTGGGGCTGGGCTGCGTGGGCGGACATCCCAGTGCGATGACAAATGTATAGTGCTGTGGCCAAGGGAAGCTTAGGGAGAACGCTTATCGGGGACCATGCGAAATGCTCAGCATCAGCCCATATGTGGCAGGACAAGTAATTATCTGCCTAATGGTTGAGGGTACGGTGCCAAAGACTTAATGAAGATGAGCAAGATCATGTGTAGCTGCGAGCCTCATTCCTACACCCTAAGTCTAAGTAAGTGTGGGGTGATGCAACTGACCTGAGCACTAATTCATGCCACATTCCGTGGCTAAGCCCCAAACACAGGGAACCCCTAAACCCCATGAACCGCTAAACCATTCACAGCCCCAGAGTCGGGATCCATAGGGCGTGTGGTCGTCCCAGTAGCCCTGACTGACTTGTGTAGAATGCTTTTCTGGGGTGGGCTCAGGAATTTGGCCAGTTGAGGGGTTCAGGGTGTTTTGCTTCGGGATGTTATTCATTCTACATCCATTGACGCATTTGCCAGAATCTAGCAGAAGTTTCGGTTCAGGGTTTAGGGCAAAGGATCTGGCTATGGACGCGAAATTGCTCTGCTGCACATTAGGCGTAGACACGCTGTGTCTCTAAACTTGGGCGGTGCGGGATCTTCCCTAAACCCTACAGTAAAAGGTAGTGCTAAGTGGGCTGTATGGACTGCTCACTCAGACCGGCAGGGCCCTTCAAGTTGAATTCCGTCAGAAAGCATACAGAACTTGCCCATAAACCAGGTAATACCACACAGAATATAAGAATATATCCTATATACTATATACCTTGTATCTGCCTTATTGAATGCCCCTTGGCCTATGGAAGCCCTAAACATAGGTAATGGGTATCCTGCAGAATGTCAGACAACTCTCTGGGTTTATTTAGGGCTTAGGAAAACTTACGTCATAGCTCATGGGAACCCGGAGAAAAAGGCACATAAGCGAGTTTAGGGCTTGGCGCTCTGTTAGGGGAACCCATAAACTCTTAGGGCTTGGGGTTTTCGATGATTTGATGAAACCCCTTTTGACCCCGAAGCCGAAGGGCTGGGGGGGCGTTCTGAAGCTATGGGGCCCTCTTGGACCCAACCACAAAGAGTGAGCCCTGCGGATCATCTGGTGTGGGGTTTGAGGATTTTGAAGGTTCGTGGCGCAAGGTTTGGGTTTTTTTTTTGGGGGGGGGCGGGGGGTTTAGGACAGTGGAGGCTTTCGGGCTTCAGGGGTTTAGGGTGTTTGGCCTTTGTGCGGCTTCGCGGTATCAGATTTGCTTCAGAAGCCTGTGCAAGGTACTCACTAGAGCGGGTTTGCGACGTCGATGTGCAGCGATACTTAACACTTCGGGAAAAGCTAGATGTGGATCTCTGAAGCCTCTTGGGCAGCTTCGGCTAACAGCTGCGCTCGCAGCCCATGTCTGCTGCAGGACGGCAGATTGCACGGGATGTCCCAGACTCCAAGCTGTTTAGGGTTTAGGGTGTTTTTCGCACCCTTAGGGTTAAAGGTTTAGGGCTTATATAAGGTCTAGAGTTTAGGATTTAAGGTTTGGGGCGTAGGGTTTAGGGCTAGAAGAACTGAGTTGTGCTGATCTCCTTGGAGCGGCCTTGAAGCGTAAGACTTTCCGGTCATTCAACAAGAACCTTAGTGCTTCTGAGCTTTGGGGTTCAGGTTTCAAGGTTTAGGCTTTAGGGCTTTAGGGCTTTAGGGTTCAGGGTTTAGGGCTTTAGGGCTTAGGGTGTAGGGCTTAACACTCCATGTCACTCCCCTTCCAGCAACCCGAAGCCTCAACCCTAAGGCCTAGGCCACAGATGAGCCAGCAACCCTGAGTATGTGAAGCATCAGCCCGACAGTCGAGCTTGCAAATCTTGCCGATTTCGGGTAAACAGCGCGTGTGGGGAACTCCTAGATCAGGATCCGTCAGGACCCCGTCATTTCTGAAAACTCCACGTTTCGAAACAAGCAGGGACGAGAGCTCAAAAGGTCCTCACATGCAGTGCAGTTGCTGCGACAGCTTCTTGTCGATGGGCGGGATTCCCCCCATGGCACGTTGGATTGCCTTGAGGCTTGTCAGTGCAGAGTTTGAAGCGTAGGGTTTTCGGACTTCGATGTTGCTGGACCCGTGCCGACACAAATGCCCTCGCAAAGGGGTCGGGCAGGCAAGCGGGTGTATGATTGAAGCTGAGATGTGCTTGAAGCTTGTCCCGTAAAGCCGCTGCAACAAAACTACCGTGGTTGGCACAATGACTCTTCTCCAAGACTTGCAACTTACACTTACACTGTGCAACTGATGTTTTTGATCTCCCCTCCCCGGGCACCCCCTCTTCATAAAAAGCATCCCTAAACCCTAAATCCTAAACCCTAAACCCCTAAACCCGTATAAGCCCCCGAACCCCACCTGGCCTTGTCTTCTACGGCGGCTCTGGTCAGAGGAACACCGCCTCGGTCGAAGGCCTTCGCGAGGCGGTAGCCCTTCTGCCACAGGTCGGTGGGAACATCTTCGTCCTTGCACCGTGCTGTTTCTTGTTGGGTTTGGGTTTGGGGTCTAGCCTAATCCGTAAACCCTGCAGGGTTTAGGCTTTATTGAAGGCTCTTTCCTCCATCCGCAGACCCGACTTCCAATGCCAGAATGTGGCTGGGACAGCTGGGGGCTGATCTAAGGGACCCACTCGAGCAACAGTCTAGGGCTTAGGGCCTGTAATTGGAATAGGGTTTCTTCAAAGGTTTCTTAAACGGGTCTATCGGTCAAAGGTTCTACAGTAGCATGTTAAAGAAAGGCTTTTGTATTGGTGTAGGGGCTTGGTATAATTAACTGTAATATGACCCTAAACCCTAAGCCTTAAACCGTTGGGGGAGCTATGATGAGAAAGGGACTACATCGGGAAGTATGGCGCTGGGAAGTTTCTCGCAGACCTGGGGTCTACTTGGGCTTAGACGTTTGCTTCGTTAGAATAGGGTTTTGGGGTTGATTACTATACTTTTAATAAGAATCGTAGGGGCTATCTACTACTATTAAGGAACCCCTAAAATAGTACTAATTATTTAGGCTCCTATAGTACCCTGGCTCTTGCGTCAGGCGTCGATGTTGGAGACCGAAAGACATGCGCCTCGAAAAAATGCAATATGTGGGCCTTAGTACATCGACAAAAGGTCTGGGGTATATCATCCTCAACGCTGTGGAATGGTGTCATCAGCTACACAGGCTGCTTTATTACAATCCCAGTTCGCGAAGCCACGCTCCCTTACTTCGGTGAGTCTCAGAGGTGTGAGCGAGTGGTAAAACCATCGCAAATTCAAGTTGCTCCCCCAAAATTCGATTCTCATCACTGATGCCCCTTGATAGAAATCATATAGATGGCTTGGAGAGCTCGTTAAGCACCCTTATTCTAATCATCTCAAGGCCCCTGACTGGGCCTCTCCGAGTTGGATGCCATTCTCCTCGAAAAACCAGCGGGTAAAGCGATCGCAGCCACCTCAATTAGGGTTCAGGGTTTAGAGTTTAGAAGGACACTGGGTTCTGAGGGGAGGGTGTACTACTCAGTCTGGTTCTGCCAGGTTGAGGAGTTGAGGATTTGAGGTTGTCGGATTTGGGATTTGGGGTTATAGGGTTTGGGGGCTTAGGGTTTAGGTGTAGAGCTGAGTGTTTGAAAAGGGTTTTAGGGGGTAGGGCTGAGAGTCAATTCCGGGACCACAAAAACAGGGTCTATACATGCCAGAGACATCCCAGCCACTGATGTGATACGTACGTCCATGCAGAGTTAGGTCCTGTCCCACCCGCATGTCATCCGGGCCGACAGGGATGCCGTCTTCGTTGACGACGCGACTTCTCTTCAGGAACGTACCTTGCGCGATGCCTGAGTTCTCTACCTTTGGCTCGTTGATGCCGATCGTTCCATCTTCCATGAAATACCTGAGCAGTTGGGACGAGAACTTTCACATCTTGGCCGAAGCAGACGACATATTCTGCATACTCAAGTCTAAATATAGCCTCAAATCTGATACCCTACAATCTATAGCTAGGTTGTACTTGCGTTTACGACACGTGCAAACCTCTTATAGACACCACTGAACCCCACCCCTAAACCTTAAACCCAATGCTAGCCCTACATCCTGTGAAGCCCCGGCCCGGCCCGGACCAAGCGTCTTCAAAAGATCAACAGTTTAGGGTTTAGGGTTTAGGGTTTAGGGCTTTAGGGTTTAGGGTTTAGGGTTTAGGGGTTTAGGGTTTAGGGTTTTAGGGTTTAGGGTTTAGGGCAAAGAGATTGGAGTAGACTTTTTGGAAGTGTCCTAGACTAAGAGACAACAGATCAGAAGCGCCCACCAAGGCCGTAAGCCCCCAGCGAAACCCTGAAGCCCCAAACCCTCAACAAAGCCTTCAAACCGAAACCCTTGACCCTAAGCCCAGGGCACATGATGTATACATGTCGGTAACGGCTGTTCTCGTCCCACCGTTCCGGGATCGACTCCTTAGTCTCGGGAAGACTTTAAGCTTCGGGTTTTAAGTGTTGTTTAGCGGCTTCGGGCTTCGGAATTGAAGCCAACATTACGGCTGATTTAAGGGCTTAGGGTTGAAGGGTTTAGGGTTTAGGGTGTAGGTTAACATACAAAACTCGCTCTGACGGACCACGGACCGAGGGCAATGGATATATTGGGTCTAGGTGTTAGGTCCTACATGCTAGGGTTCTGAACCCAAAACCAAACTCCCAACCTGAAACCTCTGAGCTTTGGGTCTTGGGACAGTAAGCTTGTAAACCCCTCAACGCCGTTGAAAATCTAGCAGCCTCGGCACCTGGAAGAAACCGTAGAACCGCAGCACCTGCTTCTCGTGCTTGAGCCACGCTGGTGTAATCCGCGGGTAGCGCATGTTCTTTGGGATGATGTCTTCCTCCTGGTTTAAACCGGGGCCCCTAATGATTAGGATGGGGCTTATGGCAAAACACTGCCGCCCAAACCCCTGTTTCCCACTCGACTCGAGTCTAGCCAGACCTCGAACTCCTAAACCTCAACCCCCGGAACTTCAAAACGCCGACAGGCCCCGAGCCTGATGCCCTAAACCATTACATTCAGGTCTAAGGACCCAGCGGAGTGTAGGGTTCAGGGTTCAGGGTTTAGGGTTTAGGGTTTAGGGTTCAGGGTTCAGGGCTTAGGGTTCAGGGTTGAGGGTTTAGGAAGTTTAGGGTTTAGGAAGTTTAGGGTTTAGGAAGTTTAGGGTTCGAGTAAAACCTGCTGGCTGTGGCGCCAAGCCTGCCGACCTGAACTTCTAAAAGTTTTGAACCCAGAGCCCGAGCCCCCAAGCTCTCTCTCACTTAGGCATTCAGGGGTTTCGGGTTTAGGGTTTCGGGTTAAGGGTTTAGGGTTTCGGGTTTAGGGTTTAGGGCTAAGGGTTGAGGGTTTCGGGTTTAGGGTTTCGGGCTAAGGGTTTAGGGTTTCGGGTTTAAGGTTTTTTGCCTCCTACTTCGCAAGGACGTGGTTCAGGGTTTAGGGTTCTCCCCAACATTCGAAACGTGAAATCGTTCTGAGGGAGCAGCAGTCGCGGCCAGACTTGTTCAGCTGCAAAGGCCGTTAGTAAAACAACACTTTTCCTCAGGGTTTAGGGTTTAGGGTTTGGCATTTAGGGTTTAGGGAACAGAACCTCAACCCTTGAAGCCCAGCACTGTAACACCCTGAGCCCAAGAGCCTAGACCGCGCACCTTCACCTCCTCCTCAGGAGGGGGTTCGGCGAAGGCCACACGCCAGCCTGCCGTTGCCATAAGCCTGGGATCTTGGGGGTTTTGGAAAGAGGTCAGGAAGTTTACGGATTTAGGGGCTAGGGCTTAGGACTTCAGGATTTTGTTCGAGGCAGCACCATCTCGGTTTACATAAGGTTTAAGAATGTAAAACCTTAGGCTGGATTTTGGGCTTTAGGACTGTAGGGTTGGGTCTTATAGAGGTGGGAACCATAAAGAGCTGCCCTAGTTTAACCCACCTAATGTCGGGGCCTAAATAATTACCTATACTATTTTGGTGGTTCCTTTTTGTAGCTATAGTAAATGGGCCCCAAAACCCCCTATTCCAATCATCAAGGCCCCTATATTATATTATTTCTTGGAAACCTACTTGCGAAGCCCCCGTGGTTGACGAAGCCTCACCGACTCCGTGTTTCACATCATCGGCAGGGTCAATAAATGCTATGACTGAATCTGAAAGGACTAGCAAAAATGCTGACATTCTGGCTGTGATCCAAAACAGGTTGCCTGTTAAACAATCCGGGTGCACACCTCAAGCTCTGGATTACACAGTGACATGAACTGAAACGAGCGAGAGCTGCTTTTTGCCGGGGGTGACAAGCATCGTGGTTGTGGTTATCGGGTTATCCTGTGGACCTTTGTTACAACCTACTTACTAAGTCCCCTCAACCTCCAAGCAAGTCTACTTATTAAACCCTAAATAAACCCTATGCCTGAACAACCCTGATACAGGGGCCTGAAGATTTACAAAGAAAATCCTCAATGGTCCCTCTATGACTACAGCAACTGGTCCCCCTAAGCTTTTCTCGAAAATACTCAGACCCCGAGACCTTAGACAATAGACTGGGATGCTGTGCCTGAATCCGTGCCTCCTCTGAGCGAGCGCGCGAGTCAAACCCTAAACCCTAAACTAAAACCCTAAACCCGAAACCCCAAACCCTAAACCCTAAACCCCAAACCCTAAACCCCAAACCCTAAACTGTATACCCTAAAACTGTTTTCAAGTGCTATCGACAGGGTACGGCGCCGAGCAGTCGGTGTTT